CCGCTTGATCGGCCGGTTGCAGTCTCCCTGGCAGACCCCTCTGGGGGTCCTGTCCTCTCTCACTTCTCCACTGTCCTCCCGTGTCCGGCTGCCCCCTCTGGCACCTTGTTTGGTCTTTACCTCCCCTTGTTCTCTACGAACTTGGTGAGTGGTGCTGACCTGCAGGATGCGGGGGTTCACCAGTTTACTCCTGCGAGTCAGCGGGTGACCCACTGCTCGGACGCTCGCACAGGCCGGCACCTGACCACATTTACGCATCGGCCGGGGTCGAGCCTCTACACCCTGACCACTGGGTCTCCTCCTGTCCCTGCGTCTAGCCAGGTAGCTGCGTCGGGTCAGGTGTTTGCTGCAGCGTCCAGGTCTGGTCCTGAGTCTGCCCCCTGCTCGTGTCGCCTCCTGTCTCACGAGACTCTCCTGTGGCACCACCGTCTTGGTCACCCCTCCCTGCCTCGTCTCCGAGGCATGGCTTCCCGTGTCCTTGTCTCTGGTCTCCCCCAGTCCCTCCCTCCCCTTCCTCCAGGGCCTGGTCTTTCCTGTGTTCCCTGTGTCGAGGGGCGGCTCCGGGCTGCCCCTCACTCCTCTCAGTTTCCCCTGACAGAGGCCCCGCTGTAGACGCTTCACATGGAGGTGTGGGGCCCAGCCCGCGTCCGTGGACAGGGTCACGAGCGCTACTTCCTACTGGTGGTTGACGACTACTCGCGTTACACCTCAGTCTTCCCCTTGCGCAGCAAGGGTGATGTCACTGAGGTGTTGATCGACTGGATCCGCGCAGCTCGTCTCCAGCTCAAGAGGAGCTTCGGCTCGGAATTTCCTGTTCTGCGTCTGCACTCTGACCGAGGCGGAGAGTTCTCCTCTGGCCTTCTGCGAGCCTACTGCCGTGCGCGAGGCATCCGCCAGACCTTTACGCTTTCGGAATCTCCACAGCAAAATGGGATTGTTGAGCGCCGCATTGGCATGGTCATGGACGTCGCTCGTACGTCCATGATGCATGCGGCTGCCCCCCATTTTCTGTGGCCGTTTGCGTTTCGGTACGCGGCGCATCAGATCAACCTTCGCCCCAGGGTCTCCATGCCGGAGACCTCCCCAGCTCTGCTATGGACGGGGAAGGTAGGCGATGCGTCTGCGTTCCGTGTCTGGGGATCTCGGGCGTTTGTCCGCGACTTGTCTGCGGACAAACTGTCCCCTTGTGCTGCTCCTTGTGTCTTCCTTGGCTTCCCCCCTGACGCACCAGGGTGGCAGTTGAGCCCCCTCCCCCCTCAGGGTCCAGCCCCTTCAGGTGTGTCCCAGGTAGACGCAGTCGAGCCGGTCGAGGTTGCTGGTGACTCTAGTACTGCTGCGGGTGCTGAGCCTGGGGGTGCTGACTCTGGGGGTGCTGCGCGAGTGGGTGCTACGACTAAGGGAGCGGAGCCTGGGGGTCCTTCGCCTGGGGGTGCTACGTCTGAAGCTGCTGAGTCTGGGGGTGCTGCGTCTGGAGCTGCTGAGACTGGGGGTACTAAGTCTGGAGCTGCTGAGCCTTGGAGTGCGGAGCCCGCGGCCGCTGGACCTGCTTGTGTGGCGTCTGGCGGTGCTGGGCCTGGTGGTTCTCCGGGTGCTTCGTCTCGGCGGGAGCCACTCTCTCCACAGGAGCTACGCGAGTGGTTTGCCCGACGCTGGAGGCGTACTGCTGGAGCTGGTGCTTCTTCGGCTGCTGAGGGTGCTGGTGCCGCCGGTCTCGGAGGTTCTAGCCCTGGGAGTGCTGGAGCTGCTGGGCCTGCGCGTGCGACTGGAGGAGGAGCTGCTGAGGGTGTTCGCGCTGAGGCTACTGCTGTAAGTCTTAGCCGCAATCCTGCTGCGAGTGTTGCTGGTGCTGCTGGAGGTACTGGAGCTGGAGGTGCTGTTGGCGCTGGTGCTGCCAATAGGGGTGCTGGTGCTGTCCCTACTGTGTCTGGAGTCGCCGCGCGGCCTCGGCCATACTTTGTTCCGCTCCTTCAGCAGGTTCTTGGTCTTCCTCCTTCCTTAGAGTGTCCACCGCCTGTCCAGTCACAGTCACAGTTACCGCCGGCCTCCCCACTCCCTGCTCCTTCTCCCTACACTGGTCCTACTGGAGGTCTTGCTGAGCGTCGTGAGCCTGCGTCTCGCCCTGCGTCGCCGGTTCATGCTGCTCGCGCTAGTGGTCGCGGTTCGCGTCAGCGTCCTCCTCCTGTCCCTGGCACGCACTGGATGTCTCTGCGTCCGTCCACTGCTCCTCTGCGTGCCCCTTTGCCTTCTCCTCCTGAGTCCTCTCTTCCTGCCCTTGCCGACCCGGAGTCGGACTCTCTTCGTGCTGCCAGTCCTACTGTCACGCGTCTCCTTGCTACTGTCGTCACTAACCCCTCTTTTGAGTCCACTGCTGCGTCTGCTCTTGTTGCTGAGCTCGTCGACTTTGCTGCTCGCTGTCGTCTAGACTACGTTGCTAGTCTCGTTGCTGAGTCTGCGTCTATCTGCCCTCCGTCCGTCGGGGGTGAGTGTGCTCTTGGCACGGACGTCCTTGAGGATAGGCAGGAGGAGTTTCAGTGTCTGGCTGCTGCTTCACCTCATCTCGTGTCCGTACTGCTTACTCCTGAGGGAGACCCGGATGCACTTGACATCCCGACTCCGCGCTCTTACGCGGAGGCCGTAGAGGGTCCCTACTCCTCTCAGTGGCAGGCAGCTATGGATGCAGAGATGGCTTCTTGGAAGTCCACAGGCACCTACGTTGGCGCTCTCCCCCCACCTGGGGCGAACATCGTCAGTGGCATGTGGATCTTCAGGGTGAAGCGGCCGCCGGGCTCTCCGCCTGTCTTCAAGGCGCGGTACGTGGCTCGTGGCTTCAGTCAGCGGCAGGGAGTTGACTACTTTCAGACCTTCTCTCCCACCCCGAAGATGACCACTCTTCGGGTGCTGCTACACATAGCCGCTCAGCGTGACTACGAGCTTCACTCCCTTGACTTCAACACTGCTTTCCTGCAGGGTAGCCTGCACGAGGAGATCTGGCTGCGCCGTCCACCTGGCTTCACTGGGACTTTCCCTCCTGGCACCCAGTGGAGCCTCCGACGGCCAGTCTACGGTCTCCGCCAGGCACCACGCGAGTGGCACGACACACTGAGGACTAAGCTTGCGGCTCTTGGGTTTGCTCCCTCTATTGCTGACCCGTCGCTGTTTCTGCGCACCAACACCTCTTTGCCGCCGTTCTACATCCTCGTGTACGTCGACGACTTGGTCTTTGCCACTGCTGACACTGCTGGACTCGCCCACGTGAAGTCCGAGCTGCAGAAGAGACACACGTGCACAGACCTGGGTGAACTGCGCAGCTACCTTGGCTTGTGGATCACCCGGGACAGAGCACGCCGCACCATTACCTTGACTCAGTCACACATGGTGCAGCAGGTCCTTCAGCGCTTCGGCTTCACATACTCCTCACCTCAGGCCACTCCTCTGCCTACTCGCCACTCGCTCTCAGCTCTGCCTTCGGATGAGTCCGTAGAGTCGAGTGGCCCGTACCCAGAGCGTGTTGGCTGCCTCATGTACCTGATGACCTGCACACGACCTGACCTTGCATACCCTCTTAGCATTCTTGCACGCTATGTTGCTCCTAGGAGACATAGACCAGAGCACATGGCTGCAGCGAAGAGGGTGTTGCGCTACGTGTGCAGTACGTCGGGCATGGGGCTAGTGCTTGGAGGGCGGAGTCCAGTGGTCCTCACTGGACACGCGGACGCTTCTTGGGCTGACAACCAGGCTACGCAGCGGTCGTCACAGGGTTACACCTTCAACCTTGGTTCCGGCTCTGTTTCGTGGCGGGCTACTCGCTCGTCTTCTGTTCTCGGCTCTAGTTGTGAGGCCGAGATCTACGCCGGGGCCATGGCTGCACAGGAGCTTTGCTGGCTCACCTACCTGCTGACCGACCTTGGAGAGCCGCCTCGTTCTCCTCCAGTCCTGTACGTAGACAACAAGGCCATGCTGGCCTTGTGTGGAGAGTTGAGACTGGAGCACAGAACAAAGCACATTGCTCTTCTTTACTTCCTTGCTCGTGAGCTACAGCAGGGTGGTCAGTTGCGGCTTGCGTACGTGGCCTTTGAGGCCAACACTGCTGATGTTTTCACCAAGGCACTTGCGCCTTGTGATCATCAGCGCTTCTGTACTCAGCTTGGTCTTGTGCCTGTCTTGCCTCACTTGCTCACTTCTTGACCTTGCTTGTACTGTCACATATATATACACCTGCTCTTATTTGCTTAGCCTCTTATATATATATATATGTACTCCTGCATGTGAACTGGCCTTCTGGCCTTGAACTTGTGCTCGGAATGTGTGGTGACTTTGTGATCCACCCTGAGCTTTGCTTTGCTTTGCTTGACTGGTCTTGTGACCCCTTGTTCTCCCCCACTTTGCCTATGGGGGTGTGTCAAATTATAATGTTGTCTAGGCTTTAGTGGGGTAGCACATATGGGGTACACATTTCTAGGGTTGCATATTTGTATCACTTTCATTCCTCAGTCATTTCATTCTCGTTCTAATTTCCTCAAGGCACACTCTCACGCACTCTCTCTCGCGCTCTCTCTCGCGCATTCTCACCACGTTCTCTCTCTCACGCGCACTCTCACGCGCTCTCTCACGCGCTCTCTCACGCGCTCTATCAAGGCGCACTCTTAGGGGCACTCTCAGGCACTCTCTTTTGCGCTCTTTTTCCCGCACGCTCACGCGCATTCTCTCTCTAACGTCCTTCACTCGCGCACTCTCACGCACATTCTCTCTCTCAAACGCCCTCTCACGCGCATTCTCTCTCTTACGTCCTTTCTCTCGTGCACTCTCGCGCACATTCTCTCCCTCAAACGCTTTCTCACGCGCACCCTCACACGCTCCCTCACACGCTCTCTCACGCGCTCTCACACGCGCTTTCTCACGCGCTCTCACACGCGTTCTCTCACCCGCTCTCTCATGCGCACTCTCACGCGCTCTCTCACGCTCCCTCACGCGCTCCCTCGCGCACTCTCAGGCACACTCTCATGCACTCCCTCTTGCGCTCTCTCTCGCGCATTCTCACCACATTCTCTCTCTCGCGGACTATCACACGCATTCTCTCTCTTGCGCTCCCTCACGCGCTCTCTCATGTGCTCTCTCACGCGCTCTCTCACGCGCTCTCATGCGCCCTCTCGCGCTCTCTCACGCACTCTCTCACGCGCTCTCAAGGCGCACTCTCAGGTACACTCTCACACACTCTCTCTCTTGCTCTCTCTCTCTCTCTCTCTCTCTCTCTCTCTTTCTCTCTCTCTCTCTCTCTCTCTCTCTCTCTCTCTCTCTCTCTCTCTCGCATTCTCACCACATTCTCTCTCTCACGCGCTCCCTCACGCGCTCCCTCACGCGCTCTCTCACGCGCTCTCTCACGCGCTCTCTCACGCGTTCTCTCACGCGCTCTCTCACGCACTCTCTCACGCACTCTCTCATGTGCTCTCTCACGCGCTCTCACGCACTCGCTCTCTTGCGCTCTCTCACGCGCTCTCTTGCGCTCGCTTACGCGCTCTCTCACGCGCTCTCTCACGCGCTCTCTCAGGCGCTCTGTCACACGCACCCTCACGCGCACCCTCACGCGCACCCTCACGCGCACCCTCACGCGCACCCTCACGCGCTCTCTCATGCGCTCCCTCACGCGCTCTCTCATGCACTCCCTCACGCGCTCTCTCACGCGCTCTCTCACATGCTCTCATATGCGCACACACTCTCCCTCGCGCTCCATCTCTTTCTTCTTCGAATGAAAGTGCAATGCAAGTGGAGATCAATCGACACATTGGAGAGAAAAAATAAAATCAAATCAAAACAAAACAAAACAGGACGGAAATTTCAGAAGGGGGAAGGGAGGACGGAAGGACCAGGAACGCACCTGCTAACCACGGTGCCTGAGAAAACAACTCCCGCTCGCGCACCAACCTGCGCTTGCGCTCGTGCACGTGTCGCCGGACGAGACAGCGGAGAGGGAAGGAGAGGCGACGGCGAGGAGTGGGGAGAGGCGACCGCGGGGAGGAGGAGAGGCGACGGTGGGGAAGGAGGAGATGCGACGGCGGGGAGGAGGAGAGGCGACGGCGGGGAGGAGGAGAGGCGACATCGGGGAGGAGGGAGGCGACGGCGGGGAGGAGGGAGAGGCGACGGCGGGGGGAGATGCGACGGCGGGAAGGAAGATAGGCGACGGCGAGGAGGAGGGAGGCGACGGCGGGGAGGTAAGGGAGAGGAGATGGCGGGGTGGATGGGACGGAGTGATTGTGAGGTGGGTTGGAGAGGTGTCAGCGGGTAGTGAGGGAGAGGATACGGCTGGATGGGAGCGAGAGCGACGGCTAGGTGGGAGAAGAACTGGCGAGAAGGGGTGGGGGAGAGGAGCAGAGCAAGTTCTTGTCGAGAAGATTCAAGAACAAGAACCAAGAAAAGATAGCGCCGAATTCGAGCTGTGAAAGAGACGAATGCCAGCGCAGAACGAGAAAATTTCTGCCAGCAGAGCGAGAAAATTTAGGGCGTGTTACATTTTTCATTTTTTTTCGTTCGGACGGCTGGCCGTCCGGACGATTGTGTGGTTACTAAACTCGTTAAATCTCGGCATTGAGTTCGTCAGCGTCTAAATGACGTCGCATTCTTAGTATTGCCTCCTTACGACATTAAATTGGTCGCAACGCGACAATACGACGTCGCAATCTTCGCATTCAGCGACTTCAAAAAATGTAGCACGCCCTTATGCTAGCACAGGAGGAGGGCATTCAGCGATGCCAAACGCCCAACCCGCTATAATAACCTGAAAGAACAATGGAGTTAAGTTGTTGGTGAAAATAATTCATGCTTATAAAAATCACAAAAAGAGCATATATATCTCATAGTTCCACAAATAATTAACAACTTTGAGGGAAGCAACATCTATAGAACATTTCGCTTCATAATAGGGAACTATCGAGCCTGACATGTTTTAAGTAAAAATGAAGAACTTAATTAATTGCTTCTATAAGCAAAGTATAATTATAATGTATGTACTCTATCTTAATGTTTCTAACATAATGTTTCTAATTCAAGGGATACAACTCTACGCAACCCTTCCGACGTAAACGTCGAGACTTGTTCTTATCCCTATTTGTGTGTGAAAAATAAACATTTGAGAAGATTGAAACGAGAATGAATGAACTATGAATGAAGTGGGTACAAGTACTAACCCTAATTGGGTTGTACCCCTTATGGGATACCCCACTACAGCCTACACAAAAGCATAAGCTATAATGTTCTGACACACCCCCATAGGCAAAGTGGGGGAGAACAGGGGGTCACAAGACCAGTCAAGCAAAGCAAGACAAAGCAAAGCTCAGGGTGGATCACCAAGTCACCACACATTCCGAGCACAAGTACAAGGCCACAAGGCAAGTTCACATGCAGGAGTATATATATATATGGCTAGACAAGCAAGAGCAGGTATATATATATGTGAGAGTACAAGCAAGGTCAAGAGGTGAGCAAGTGAGGCAAGACAGGGACAAGACCCAACTGAGTGCAGAAGCGCTGATGATCACAAGGCTGAATTGCCTTGGTGAAAACATCAGCAGTGTTGGCCTCAGAGGCCACGTATGCAAGCCGCAACTGTCCACGCTGCTGTAGCTCACGAGCAAGGAAGTAGCGGAGAGCAATGTGCTTCGTTCTGTGCTCCAGTCGCTGCTCTCGACACAAGGCCAGCATGGCCTTGTTGTCTACGTATAGGACTGGAGAACGAGGCGGCTCTCCGAGGTCAGTCAGCAGGTAGGTGAGCCAGCGAAGCTCCTGTGCAGCCATGGCCCCAGCGTAGATCTCAGCCTCACAAATGGAGCCGAGAACAGAAGATGAGCGAGTAGCCCGCCACGAGACAGAGCCGGAACCAAGGCTGAAGGTGTAACCCTGTGACGACCGCTGCGTAGCCTGGTCGTCAACCCAAGAAGCGTCTGCGTGCCCAGTGAGGACCACTGGACTGCGCCCTCCAAGCACTAGCCCCATGCCCGACGTAGTGCACAAGTAGCGCAACACCCTCTTTGCTGCAGCCATATGCTCTGGTTGGTGTCTCCCAGGAGCAACATAGCGTGCGAGAATGCTAAGAGGGTATGCAAGGTCAGGTCGTGTGCAGGTCATCAGGTACATGAGGCAGCCAACAAGCTCTGGATACGGGCCACTCGACTCTACCGTCTCATCCGAAGGCAGAGCTGAGAGCGAGTGGCGAGTAGGCAGAGGAGTGGCCTAAGGCGAGGAGTACGTGAAGCCGAAGCGCTGAAGAGCCTGCTGCACCATGTGTGATTGAGTCAGCGTAATGATGCGGCGTGCTCTGTCCCGGGTGATCTGCAAGCCAAGGTAGCTGCGCAGTTCACCCAGGTCTGTGCACGTGTGTCTCTTCTGCACCTCGGACTTCACGTAGGCAAGTCCAGCAGTGTCAGCTGTGGCAAAGACCAATTCGTCGACGAACACGAGGATGTAGAACGGCGGCAGAGAGGTGTCGGTGCGTAGAAACAGCGACGGGCCGGCAGTAGAAGGAGCAAACCCAAGAGCCGCAAGTGTAGTCCTCAATGTGTCATGCCACTCACGTGGCGTCTCGCGGAGACCATAAACTGGACGCCGGAGGCTCCACTGGGTACCACGAGGGAAAGACCTAGTGAAGCCAGGTGGGCGGCGCAGCCAGATCTCCTCGTGCAGGCTGCCCTGCAAGAAAGCTGTGCTGAAGTCGAGAGAGTGCAGCTCGTAGTCACGGTGAGCAGCAACGTGCAGCACTACCCAAAGAGTGGTCATCTTCGGGGTGGGAGAGAAGATCCGAAAGTAGTCAACTCCCTGCCGCTGACTGAAGCCACGAGCCACGTAACGTGCCTTGAAGACAGGCGGAGAACCCGGCGGCCGCTTCACCCTGAAGATCCACATGCCACTGACGATGTTCGCCCCAGGCGGGGGAACTTCGTCAACGTAGGTGCCTGTGGACTTCCAGGAAGCCATCTCTGTGTCCATAGCTGCCTGCCACTGAGAGGAGTAGGGACCCTCTATCGCCTCCGTATAGGAGCGCGGAGTCGGGATGTCAAGTGCATCCGGGTCTCCCTCAGGGGTAAGCAGTACGGACACGAGATGAGGTGAAGCAGCTGCCAGACATTGAAACTCCTCCTGCCTGTCCTCAAAGACGTCCGTGCCAAGGGCACACTCACCCCGGACGGACGGAGGACAGACAGACTCAGACTCAGCGATAAGACTAGCAGCGTAGTCTAGGCGACAACGAGCAGCGAAGTCGACGAGCTCAGCAACTAGGGCAAACGCAGCAGTGGACTCAAAAGAAGGGTCAGTGACGACAGTAGCCAGGAGACGCGTGACAGTAGGACTGGGAGCACGAAGAGAGTCCGACTCCGGGTCAGCAAGAGCAGGAAGAGAGGACGCAGGAGGAGAAGGCAAAGGGGCACGCAGAGGAGCAGTGGACGGATGCAGAGACATCCGGTGCGTGCCAGGGACAGGAGGAGGACGCTGACGCGAACCACGACCACTAGCGCGAGCAGTACGGACAGGCGACGTAGGGTGAGACGCAGGCTCACGACGCTCAGCAAGACCTCCAGTAGGACCAGTGTAGGAAGAAGGAGCAGGCAAAGGGGAGGTAGGCTGCAACTGTAACTGTGACGGGACAGGCTGTGGACACACTAAGGGAGGAGGAGCACGAGTAGAAGGTGGAAGACCAAGAACCTGCTGCAGGAGTGGAGCGAAGTACGGTCGAGGCCGCGTGGCGACGTGAGACACAGCAGGGACAGCACTAGTACCCCTAGCAGGAGCGCCCGCTCCAGTAGTACCTCCAGCAGCTCCAAAACCTCCAGCAGCACCAGGAGTACCCCCAGCAGGACCGCCAGCGGTAGTCTCAGCGCCAACACCCTCAGCAGCACCAGCTCCAGTTGCACCCGCAGGCCCAGCAGCTCTAATACTCCCAGTACGAGCACCTCCGGGACCCGCGACAGCAGCACCCTCAGTAACTGAAGAACCTCCAGCACCAGCAGCACGCCTCGAGCGCCGGGAAAACCACTCGCGCAGCTCCCGTGGAGAGAGTGGCTCCCGGCGAGACGAAGCACCCGGAGAACCTCCAGGCGGAGCACCTCCAAGCTCAGCACCCCCAGGCTCAGCACACCCAGGCTCAGCACCCCCAGGCTCAGCACCCCCAGGCTCAGCACCCCCAGGCGCAGCACCCCTTGTCTCAGCACCCCCAGTCTCAGCACCCCCTAGCTTAGCACCCCCAGGCTCAGCACCCCCAAGCCCAACACCCCCAGGCGTAGCACCCCCACGCTTAACACCCCCAGTGTCAGCACCCCCTTGCTCAGCACCCTCAACAGCAGCAGAGTCACCAGTGACCTCGACAGGCTCGACTGCGTCTACGTGGGACACACCTGAAGGGACAGACCCTAAGGGGGGAGGGGGTCTACCGGAGGGGGACCTGGTACATGGAAGAGCGGCGGCGGGGGGGGGGGGGGACGGAGTGCGGTAGGGGAAGAGGCGGTAGTAGGGGACCGACTCGTCAAACGCGACGTCCTAGGAGGACAGAACACGGCGAGAGGTGGGGTGGTAGAACTGCCACCCAGGCGCGTCAGGGGGGAACCCCAGGAAGACGCAAGGAGCAACACGAGGGGACAGCTTGTCCGTAGAAAAGTCGCGGACAAACGCCCGAGATCCCCAGACCCGTAACGCCGACGCATCGCCAACCTTCCCCGTCCACAGCAAGGCTGGGGAGGTCTCCGCCCTGGAGACCCTGGGGTGTAGGTTGATCTGATGCGCCGCGTACCTCACTTCAAACCGCCACAGAAAATGGGGAGCAACCGCATGCATCATGGACGTACGAGCGACGTCCATGACCATGCCAATGCGGCGCTCAGCAATCCCATTTTGCTCCGGGGAGTCCGGAAGCGTCAAGGTCTGACGGATTCCTCGTGCGCGACAGTAGACTCTCAGAAGGCCAGAAGAAAACTCTCCGCCTCTGTCCGAGTGCAGACGCAGAACAGGAAAGTCCGAGCCAAAGCTCTGCCTGAGGTGGAGACGAGCTGCGCGGATCCAGTCGATCAGCACCTAAGTGACATCACCCTTGCTGCGCAAGGGGAAGACTGGGGTGTAACGCGAGTAGTCGTCAACAACGAGCAGGAAGTAGCGCTCGTGACCCTGTCCACGGACGCGGGCTGGGCCCCACACGTCCATGTGAAGCGTCTGCAACGGGGCCTCTGTCGGAGGAAACTGGGAGGAGTGAGGGGCACCCCGCTGGCGCCCCTTGACACAGGGGACACAGGTAGGGCCAGGGCCCTGAGGAAGGGGAGGAAGGGACCGGGGGAGACGTGAAACAAGAAGACGGGAGGCCATGCCTCTGAGCCGAAGCAGAGAGGGGTGACCAAGGCGGTGGTGCTAGAGGAGAGTCTCGTGAGACAGGAGACGACACGAACAGGGGGCAGACTCAGGACCAGACCTAGACGCTGCAGCAAACACCTGACCCGGCGCAGCTACCCTATCTAACGCAGCAAACGGAGGAGACGCAGTGGTCAGTGTGTACAAGCTCGACCCCGGCCGATGGGTAAACGTAGCAAGGTGTCGGCCTGTGCTAACCTCTGTGTAGTGCGTCACCCGCTGACGCGCAGGAGTGAACTGGTGTACTCCCCCATCCTGTAGGTCAGCACCACTCACCAGGTTCGTAGAGAACGAGGGGAGGTAGAGACCAGACAGGGTGCCAGAGGGAGCCGCCGGACACGAGAGGACAGTGGAGAAGTGAGACAGGACAAGACCCCTTGAGTGGTCAGCTAGAGACACCGCAACAGGCCGACTAAGCAGCGTGAGTGTGGTGCGGTCCCGAAAGAAGGAGCGAGAAGCCCCTGAGTCAAGGGTGAAGGTGAGGGAGGCCGAAGCCGGCGCAGTACTTGAGAGCGCAGACTCACCAGTACCTGAGGACGTAGGCGCACTAGCACCTAGAGCAGCAGCGTCGCAAGCACCTAGGGCAGCAGCCTCACCAGTACCTAGAGTAGCAGTCTCAATGCCCGGATTAGGGGGGAAACACCGGTAACAGTCACCCTCATCACTAATAGACACAACATACATGGCAGAAAGGATAGCATCAAAATCAAGATCATAGATGGCAACTCCCGCCCTAGACAGCTCACCCCAGCGAGGGATCTCTGTGGCCTCCGGGAACTGGTGACGCCACGCGTCCGTCAGGCGGCCAAAGCAGCGCTGGGTGGGGTGCGCACCCCCACAGTCCTCCCCCGCACGGTCGCCGGTGCGTAGGACGTAGGTGCACGGACCAAAACCCCCACCCCGCTGGCGTGCAGTGTACCACTCACGGAGCTGCTGAGGGGACAGGGTCTCACAACCGCGCTGCTGCTGCTTGCGCGGACCACCACCAGAGCCACTCCTCTGCGTAGACCCGCGCCCAGCTCCACCGCCACCCCGGCCGCCTCCGCCGCCTCCGCCGCCTCCGCTACTACCGCCGCCTCCGCTACTACCGCCGCCTCCGCCGCCTCCTCCACCGCCACCACCTCCACCACCTCCGCTCCCACCGCCACCGCCGTCGCCGCCTCCGCCTCCACTGCCGCCTCCGACACCTCCACCCCCACCTCCACTTCCACCGCCACCCCCACTCCCCCCGCCGCCTCCACCTCCACCTCCACCTCCACCGCCCTCGCTTGCTCCTCCAGCGCCCCTGCCCCCCTTGCTCTTGCCAGAGCGGCGTCTCCCGCTAGGGGCAGACGCCGCACTGACCGACTCAACACCAACGAGGTCGGCCGCAGCAGCAGAGGCAACGGAGGGCAGAAGGGGGGAGGGGGAACACCCCTCAAAGATGGGGGTGCGCGGGTCACCACGAGAGGCCCCTACAGCGACTATGCTCTTCTCGGCCGCTAGGAGGGACTTCTCGAGGAGGTCAACAGTTAGAGTGGTGGGACAAACTGAGAGGAAGTGGTCCCTGACTACGCGAAGGGAGTTAGGGAGGCGAGTGACTAAGTAGTATAGAGTGATGTACACGGGGGGGGGGGGGTTCTTGGCGCAGAAGTCAGCAGGAAGCGCAGCGCGGTAGCGAGTGTCACTAGTGCGGAGGTGCGTAATGAGGTCAGCGACTGTGGGAAAGGCAGCAAGGTCAGGGAAGAGGTACAGTAGCATGAGGCGGCTCAGTGCACCAGTGGCAGGGGAAAAGTAGCGCGCAACTACAACGTCGTACAAGGTCTGAGCACTCTTGTACTGACTAAAGTGCGCGCGCTCAGTGGTAGGAAGGTGGCGACGCACAGCAAGACGTGCAGCAGCATCGCGAGTGGCCCACTGTGAGCGAACGGTGGCGTCGGCATCGGCAGCAGGGGCAGGGGAAGCACCAGAGGTGAGGTCAAAGAGGGAGAGACTGTCTGCCCTATCGCACTGTAGGAGAAGCTGCAGGTCATCTACCCAGACGTCAAAGTCAATGGCCCGACCCTCAACGTCAAAAGTGAGAACACTGGGGGTAGCCATGACAGCAGTAGACTAGCAGTGCTAACTGTAGAGCAGGGGCAGTGCGGTGATAGAGGCGCTGCGCTCACCAGACCGGGCGATTCAGGCAGCTCGGGCGACTCGGCAGCAACTGCGGCTCGGCGGCACCCGCGGCTCGGCTCCTCAGGCGGCTCGGGCGGCTTAGCGGCGCGGGCGGCTCGGCTGCGTAGGCGTTCGGGCGGGGCCGTAGGTAGGGCGGCGGGGCCGGGTCGAAGGTAGGGCGACGGGGTCGGGGCCGGGGCGCAGGTAGGGCGACGGGGCCGGGGCCGGGCCGTAGGTAGGGCGACGGGGCCGGGGCCGGGCCGTAGTGTGAAATCAAAGAACGAGAATGAATGACTATGAAGTGAAGTGAATACAAATAGGAAACCCTAATTGTGTTGTACCCCCTATGGGATACCCCACTATAGCCTACAGAAACAAGTAAGCTATATGTTCTGACACACCCCCATAGGCAAAGTGGGGGAGAACAAGGGGTCACAAGACCAGTCAAGCAAAGCAAAGCAAAGCTCAGGGTGGATCACAAAGTCACCACGCATTCCGAGCACAAGTTCAAAGGCCAGAAGGCCAGTTCACATGCAAGATCATATATAGAGATATACAAGAGTCAAGCAAGCAAGAGCAAGAGTATATATAGGCGAAGGTACAAGCAAGGTCAAGAGGAGAGCAAGTGAGGCAAGACAGGCACAAGACCCAACTGCGTGCAACAACGCTGATGATCACAAGGCGCAAGTGCCTTGGTGAACACATCAGCAGTGTTGGCCTCAGAGGCCACGTACGCAAGTCGCAACTGTCCACGCTGCTGTAGCTCACGAGCAAGAAAGTAGCGGAGAGCAATGTGCTTCGTTCTGTGCTCCAGTCGCTGCTCTCGACACAAGGCCAGCATGGCCTTGTTGTCTACGTACAGGACTGGAGGAGAACGAGGCTGCTCTCCAAGGTCGGTCAGCAGGTAGGTGAGCCAGCGTAACTCCTGTGCAGCCATAGCCCCAGCGTAGATCTCAGCCTCACAACTGGAGCCGAGAACAGAAGACGAGCGGGTAGCCCGCGACGAGACAGAGCCGGAACCAAGGCTGAAGGTGTAACCCTGTGACGACCGCTGCGTAGCCTGGTCGTCAGCCCAAGAAGCGTCTGCGTGCCCAGTGAGGACCACTGGACTGCGCCCTCCAAGCACTAGCCCCATGCCCGACGTACTGCACAAGTAGCGCAACACCCTCTTCGCTGCAGCCATGTGCTCTGGTCGGTGTCTCCCAGGAGCAACAAAGCGTGCGAGAATGCTAAGAGGGTATGCGAGGTCAGGTCGTGTGCAGGTCATCAGGTACATGAGGCAGCCAACAAGCTCTGCAAACGGGCCACTCGACTCTACGGACTCATCCGAAGGCAGAGCTGAGAGCGAGTGGCGAGTAGGCAGAGGAGTGGCCTGAGGCGAGGAGTACGTGAAGCCGAAGCGCTGAAGGACCTGCTGCACCATGTGTGACTGAGTCAGGGTAATGGTGCGGCGTGCTCTGTCCCGGGTGATCTGCAAGCCAAGGTAGCTACGCAGTTCACCCAGGTCAGTGCACGTGTGTCTCTTCTGCAGCTCGGACTCCACGTAGGCGAGTCCAGCAGTGTCAGCTGTGGCAAAGACCAAGTCGTCGACGTACACGAGGATGTAGAACGGCGGCAGAGAGGTGTCGGTGCGCAGAAACAGCGACGGGTCGGCAGTAGAAGGAGCAAACCCAAGTGCCGCGAGCGTAGTCCTCAGTGTGTCGTGCCACTCACGTGGCGCCTGGCGGAGACCGTAGACTGGACGCCGGAGACTCCACTGGGTACCAGGAGGGAAAGACCCAGTGAAGCCAGGTGGGCGACGCAGCCAGATCTCCTCGTGCAGGCTGCCCTGCAAGAAAGCTGTGCTGAAGTCGAGAGAGTGCAGCTCGTAGTCATGGTGAGCAGCAACGTGCAGCAGAACCCGAAGAGTGGTCATCTTCGGGGTGGGGGAGAAGGTCTGAAAGTAGTCAACCCCCTGCCGCTGACTGAAGCCACGAGCCACGTAACGCGCCTTGAAGACAGGCGGAGAACCCGGCGGCCGCTTCACCCTGAAAATCCACATGCCACTGACGATGTTCGCCCCAGGAGGGGGAACAGCGTCAACGTAGGTGCCTGTGGACTTCCAGGAAGCCATCTCTGCATCCATAGCTGCCTGCCACTGAGAGGAGTAGGGACCCTCTATCGCCTCCGCGTAAGAGCGCGGAGTCGGGATGTCTGGTGCATCCGGGTCTCCCTCAGGGGCTAGCAGTACAGACGCAAGACGAGGTGAAGCGGCGGCCAGACACTGGAACTCCTCCTGCCTGTCCTCAAGGACGTCCGTGCCAAGGGCACACTCACCCCCCGACGGACGGAGGACAGGCGGACTCAGACTCAGTGACAAGACGAGCAGCGTAGTCTAGACGACAGCGCGCAGCAAAGTCGACAAGCTCAGTGACAAGGGCAGACGCAGCAGACGACTCGAAGGAAGGGTCAGTGACAGCAGTAGCAAGGAGACGCGTGACAGTAGGACTGGCAGCACGAAGAGAGTCCGACTCCGGGTCGGCAAGAGCAGGAAGAGAGGAAGCAGGAGGAGAAGGCAAAGGGGCACGCAGAGGAGCAGTGGACGGACGCAATGACATCCGGTGCGTGCCAGGGACAGGAGGAGGACGCTGACGCGACCCGCGACCACTAGCGCGCTCAGTACGAACAGGCGACACAGGACGAGACGCAGGCTCACGACGCTCAGTAAGACCTCCAGTCGGACCAGCGTAGGGAGAAGGAGCAGGCAAAGGGGAGGCAGGCTGTAGCTGTGGCTGTGACCGGACAGGCTGCGGACCCTCTAAGGGAGGAGGAGGAGGAGGTGGAAGACCAAGAACCTGCTGCAGGAGCGGAACGAAGTACGGTCGGGGCCGCGCGGCGACACTAGAAACAGCAGGAACAGCACCAGCAGCCCCGGCAGGAGCACCCACTCCAGCAGCACCTCCAGCAGCACCACCCGAAGCTCCAGAACCTCCAGCAGCAGCACCAGGAGCACTGTCAGTCGGACCGCCAACGGCAGGCTCAGCGCCAACACCCTCAGCAGTACCAGCTCCAGGAGAACTCTCAGACCCAGCAGCTCCAGCACCCACAGTATGAGCACTGGCGGGACGCGCGGCAGCAGTACCCTCTGCAGCCGAAGAACCACCAGCACCAGCAGCACGCCTCCAGCGCCTGGCAAACCACTCACGCAGCTCCTGTGGGGAGAGTGGCTCCCGGCGAGACGAAGCACCCCCAGGCACAACACCCCAAGGCTCTGCACCCCCAGACACAGCACCCCCAGGCACAGCACCCCCAGGCTCGGCACCTCCAGGCTCAGCACCCCCAGGCACAGCACCCCCAGGCGCAGCACCCCCAGGCTCAGCACCCCTAGGCACAGCACCCCCAGGCACAGCACCTCCAGGCTCAGCACCCCCAGGCTCAGCACCCCCAGGCTCAGCACCCTCAGACTCCGCACCCCCAGGCTCAGCTCGCGCAGCAGCACCAGAGTCACCAGTGACCTCGACAGGCTCGACCGCGTCTACCTGGGACACACCTGAAGGGGCAGGACCCTGAGGGGGGAGGGGGACTACCGGGGGGGGACCTGGTACCAAGAAGAGCGGGGGTGGGGGGAGGGACGGAGTGCGGTAGGGGAAGAGGCGGTAGTAGGGTACCGACTCGTCGAACGTGACGTCCTGGGAGGACAGAACACGTCGAGAGGTGGGGTGGTAAAACTGCCACCCAGGGGCGTCGGGGGGGAACCCCAGGAAGACGCAGGGAGAAGCACGAGGGGACAGCTTGTCCGCAGACAGGTCGCGAACAAACGCCCGAGATCCCCAGACCCGGAACGCCGACGCATCGCCAACCTCCCCGTCCACAGCAGGGCTGGGGAGGTCTCCGGTCGAGAGACCCTGGGGTGGAGGTTGATCTGGTGCGCAGCGTACCTGACCGCAAACGGCCACAGAAAATGGGGAGCAGCCGCATGCATCATGGACGTACGAGCGACGTCCATGACCATGCCAATGCGGCGCTCAGCAATCCCATTCTGCTGTGGTGAGTCCGGAAGCGTGAAGGTCTGACGGATGCCTCGCGCACGACAGTAGGCACTCAGGAGGCCAGAGGAGAACTCTCCGCCTCTGTCCGAGTGCAGACGCAGAACAGGGAAGTCAGAGCCAAAGCTCCTCCGAAGCTGGAGACGAGCTGCGCGGATCCAGTCGATCAACACCTCAGTGACCTCACCCTTGCTGCGCAAGGGGAAGACTGTGGTGTAACGCGAGTAGTCGTCAACCACCAGCAGGAAGTAGCGCTCCTGACCCTGTCCACGGACGCGGGCTGGGCCCCACACGTCCATGTGAAGCGTCTGCAACGGGGCC